GTTTCATCTGAGAAAATCCAAAAGGAGAACAGTCTAATGTATGTGGCCCTAACAGCAGGGACAGAACTTATAGTACCTGCAAAAAAAGTGCGCAGCATCCCTGAAATTCATGTTACAACAATATTAAATCATTCTTTCCTAAAAGATGTCCCGAAGTCTTTTTGGAGAAGAGGAGATTTTAACTCTCAATTATAAGATGACTTTTTTGAAACTGTATTTGGCTAGGAATTGGAAAATAGGTCTGGTGTACAGAGGCATAACCCACAAAATGGAAACCTGTGGTCTTTAACTGAATTACTTTTCCTTTGAGGGCTTAAACTATTTTAGGTAGAAAAACATTTTTAGTATGGGAATAAATGCACTCATATCAAAGTAACCCATTATAGCTAAATCTATGGAGATTTTGAATGTATTTCAGATGTGTCCTAATTTATTTTAATTGCATGCTTCCCATGAGTGTTAAAGGAGTGGAAAAAATCAAGCAGTTACTTTTTCTGTTTTCTGTCGTCTTTAGGAAAGTTATTAACCTTCAAGTTAGGGACTGTGTCAGTTTTGTATCACATGATGAACAGTATTATCTTACTCTGTAGGGACAGAAGGTTTGGAAAAGCAGTCACTCTGGTCTTGAATGTCTACAGAGCTGAGGACGTAGTTGTCTGTTCCGCTGGCTTCAAATACAGAAGAAGTAGTGAAGAGTGACATAGTTGTACGGAGCTGAAAGGGTATGTAATGTTTCACTTCAAGACCGATCTCATCCTTTACCTAAATGTGTTCATGTGCCAGGCAGTCTTTGACTTCTGAGGGACAGTGCTCTCCAAACTGTTACTTTGCCAAGAAACTGTTAACTTATTCCCTGCGTAAATTGTCACCTATGTAGAGCATTTGATGACTGAAACAAAACCGTATTACAGATGTGTAACGCTCTCTGGTTTAGTGCAATTACTTATCCACCTTGTGAAAGTCTGGTTTTGAATCTTTTTTTTCTTTATTGTAATTGAAGAACAGTGATGTAGATAAAGAAGCAATGGTTATCAGAAAAGTTGAGGAGAAAGGAGGAGCGGGATACTGGCAGGATTGGAGCATGTGGGTTAAAATACAAGAAATGACAAAAGACCGAAAATGATGTGTTGCTAAGGTGATTGGGAGTAAACATCAGCAAAGTGGTCTAAAGTATAAATCTAGTTCTAGAAGCTGCATGACAAGTAACTTTGAGGGAGATGACAGTCAGGGCTCCAGGGTCTCTTTAAGTAAGAAGTGGTAAGAATTAGTGATTCAAACAATGTCTGGGAGACCAGTGAGATCATTAAAATAGTTCAACAGCTTCCTTGTTGTTCCAGCACATTGGAAAGGAGTCCTCAAAAAATCCTTAGTACAGAACATGAGTCCCCATTCCGCTCCTCCAAGTGAGAGTGCAAGCACCCAACTGCCTTGTCTTAAACTGTTTCCTTTTACGTAAGTGCACCCAACACTTGGGTGCTTCAGCAGCCTTCCCAGAGCCTCAGAAAGAGACTTTTGTCCTTTTCTCTGATTACGGAGTGCAGAGATTGCAGTGCCTAATTTTGTTAGGTTCTCATGCTCTAATAGCTTGTTATGCTTTGTCTCGCTTATGCTGTGAAGTGCCAGTCACAGTTACCATCAGCCCTTTTTGTTGACCAATTTGCATTTTGACTAGCGATAGCTGTCTTTTTATACTTAATGTTATGGCTTGCACTAAAGCTGAATAGTGTATTGTGGGCTATTTGTTCAGGCCTACAAAGAAGTTCTTGTGTGAGCACAGCTCTAACAAATGATCTAAGCGACTCTCATACAAAAACTGTTCAAAGATATTTTTTTTTTTTCCTCATTCTTTTAAATAGTTTATTTTTATGTTTGCTGGTAACTGCTCAATGTATTAGGCAAACTTATTTTTAGATATGGACTCTGTGCCTTTTTCAAGATTCATAAGAAGTGAAGTTCTGTTTAGCAGATGGAATTTAATTTCCTGGGATGAGCTATCGTGGATTTGGTGTAGACTTGAGGTTGTGGACTCAGTTAATTCAGGGTAACTCCATTTTGGGTCAGTCTCCCACTCTGATTAATCTCCATGGGGAGACATTAGTGCAGGACTAGTGATTCTAATAGGCGTCAAACAGAGCAACAGATCAGAGAGCTGAGCTTTCTGGGTGCGCATTCTCCAGTTCCTTATGCTAAGATACTTTAAGAATAATTAGACTTCGGTAAACCAAGGAATTTTTTCTGAAACCAGTAAGGGTTTGGTTTCTGAACTGCAGCCCATTCGGTCTTGCTATGTAATAGGTATCAAACCTAGGCAACTGTATTCTTAAGTACAAGTTTTTACAGCTCTTCTGCAGAGTGGTTGAACTTTTAGACCTTCTTAACAAGTATTCGCCCTACAAAAGTGTACAGGGTGATTATTTATCTCTTTGCTGTAAATGTTGACTTGGTACTTGAGGTAGCGTTATGCAAAGCTAATCCCAGATTAGCGCCTTTCCAAACCAGCAGGGTAAAACCGTCTCCGTTAGTTGAGTTTGTGAAAGCTGTAGTATGTACGTAACAATGCACCCGAGATTGATGATTTTTGTGTGCCAGTAAGATGTTTAATGGATTGCAGTGGAATTCAGTTCATGGAGATGGAGTGTTATGCACAGCCTAGATTTTAGCATCAAACATGGAGAGCAGTTTGTATCACAGTAAATCAACTTTCTTGAAATGTAATTAAGCTGAGAGCAGAGACCAACTGAGACTTCAATTTTGAAGGCTAGATTTGCACAAGGAAAAAAGATTAATTTCAAAATGAGGAACGTGTGGCTTCCACTTAAGTTGTTTGGCTTCTGTTGTTTTTTTTTTTCACGTTGGTTATATTTAAGCCAACAAAAAGTGACTTGACGTTTGCTAACCCAGAATGTTTTTTTTCAGTGTGGCTGTGTGCAGAATGGCTCTGGTGGCTTTTGCTTCCTAAGCGACTTTCTGTGAACATCAGGCTTTCTAACTGTGGATGCCCAATTTAAATATTCCCCTCTGCAACTTCAGCTTTGTGTGTGTAGATGTGTAATGTGTGTGTGATATACATATGTATGTGTGTATAAAAGCTTATATTGCGTATGTATATAAATACGCATTGATATATATAAAAAAATAAGAGCACCACTAGCAATTGCAGTCAGTAGAAACAGGACACTGCCCATCTGCAAGAACCTATGATCCTAACGAAATTAGGAGATGGCTCAACATTTGATCCTTGTATCAGTGTAGCAACTGGCCAGTTTATCCTCAACGGGTGTAACTCCACTGACTTCCAGAGTGTCAGGCTGCTATAAAACTGATCTGAGGGGAGAAGGAGGTTCATGTTTCTCTGGTGTTTGACTAGCAGTTCAGAGCAAACCTTTGATTGCAAGTGACTGCAGAACGATGCTGTAGAGCTCTTACTGCAGCAGGTCGGTCCTCTTTTGTCCTTGGCTGACTAAGAAGCCCTTCAGCACTTCTCGGAAGCAAACTTTTGCAAGGCTGTTTTACTGATTTTCTTGGTGGTTTGGGTATTCTGGAGCCCAAGTTTCAATGAATAAAAACTGTAACAGGCAAGAAATTAGTTTCTGCTAGCTTGTTTAACTAGAGAGATTTCTATTTCTGCACACTTAATTTCGGGAAGGATGTGTTGGAGGAAGGACTCCTTCCCAAGACCTTGATGTTTTGACTATTGGACTTTAAGTAAAACCCCTTTAATAATCCCATTCTAGCTAGGAGTTTTATCTGTATTACAAGTAATGCACAAGGCTTGTACCTGTATAGAAGAACAGCTGTCTAAAACAAGCTTGTGAAACCCTGGAAATATTAAATACAGTATCTGAAATCTTTTAACACTTCATTAAAAAAGTGGACAGAATTATTGCAGTCTGAATCAAAGGGGCGATCTCACTCCTGTTTACCAAACCTGAGTTGCTCCTTGGCACCTAACATAAATCAAAGGGGAAGTATTTTTTCTGTAAAACTTTAATTTCCTCCACTAGACAGTTTTATATAACCTGTCATTTTGACATTGCACTGCTTTTCTTTCCGACAAAAGCAGCATATAATAAACTGTAAATCATGCTTGCTTACTAGGAGAAATGCAATGCAAATAAGATGCTTTAGCTTTGTGGGACACTTTTTTTCTCCAAAATAAAATTCCAGAAACTGTTTTAAGATTCGAGAGAGGATTTTTAAAGCAAGGAGGCTGACTGGCTACTTTCTTTGTGTTTGGTTGCATAAGAATTGTCAGCCCTTTTTAATGGGGGGGGAGAAAAAACGCAGCTCTTGCAACATTCTGATTTATGCTGGCTTCCAATTATTGCACTATTTACTCTCCTGGGTAAGGAAAACTACAGCTGTTCTTTTGGACTTTTCAAGGTTGATCTCACTAGAAAGAGGCTAAACTAGCAGACAGAATGTACACTTTTCAAAAAATCTTTCCATCAGAGAGCTCTTTTCCTTTGAAGAGTTTACCTTTTCTGGTTTAGAGATACTAGCACTGTGCAAAACATGACATGTGGTTCTGTATCTTAGTTACCATATTGAGGGCTATTTTTTTTAGGCTGTGAGGTTTTCGAGGTCTACCTGGAAGCTTAGTGCCAGAATAGATGCTTTCTAATGTGAGAATCAAATCTTAAGCATCTATCTCTTGTGATTGAACTGAGGTTTGTATGAAGCTCTGCTGTTTCTGGAGCCCAAACAGTGGGCTGATCGGTAGAAGGGATTGTTTAACAAGCTTTAGTTCAGTTGTTAGAAGTGAGGGAGTTTTGCCATTTAAGTGAAAAGATTTAGATTTATGTAGGTGGAAGTGTTTTAATCTGTCATTGTGGGAATTGAATCACTTTCTCCTTTTTAATGGTGTAATGCAGGATAACTGTGATTTGGATTTGGAGAACTGCTGGATGTTTTCCTGTATCCTTTGACTGTGGAGTAACAGGAGTCTTCATAATCAGAAACGGAGACATTGTACTTTTTGGCTTTCTTCTGCTATTAGATCCCCATACGTGACTGATCTATGAAATGGCAGAGAATGGAACAGATTGTGACCAGAGACGCATAGGAATGATCAAAGAACAGCACAATGGAAACTTTGCAGGTAGGTGGAAAATTACTTAATGTTCTCAGCTGGTCAGCTTGGTGTGTAAAATGGCCAGCACAATACTCAAAAGGAATTTAGGTTGGTGTGCTTTATGCCCAGAAAATGCAAAGGGCCTCGATATCTGAATCAATCTTGGAAACTTGAGTCATCTCTTAGTCTGAAGTCTAGAGGATTTGTGTATTTTAAAGCCATAGAATAGTTTTATGCTGTGTATTTCCATTCAGTTTTCTCTTATACTATTTCCTCCCTTCAGAGTTCTTATTCTGTAGTTGATATGCCTGTGAGCCCTGTAAGGCTGACTTGGGTACCAACAGGGGCTGGAACAGGACTGAGATAAAAATCTAAGTTCTGTTAGCAAATATGTGGCTGTAGAAGTCAGGCTATACAGCCCCACCCTTTGGCAATGAAAAGTTAGTACTTGGTAATAAAAATCTGTTTTACTCTGGGAGAAATCCAGTTATTAGTCTTCCAATTTCTAGCTTTTCTGTTGACATTTAGCTTCACTATAATTTATCTGTTTCAATCATAAATTACTAACGAAACAGTTAACTACTACATGGCTGGCCTTGCCTCTTTTTTTCCTACTGGTACGTCTGAAGTAGGCTTGGGTTAATGTTTACGACTCGTGAAAAATAACCTAAGAACACTTCATGAAAAGCCTTGTGTCACTGAATTACCTGTCTGTGTAGTATAGAATAGAAATGGTAATCCTTTTAGTTTGTTTCCTGTCATCTTTGAATGTGCCAGTTCCATATTTAATTAAGTTTTGTAACAAAGTGATTTCTCAAGTTGTATGCAGTCTTACACCATTGCCTTTTATGACCTTTACTAAAAACAAAGTCATAAAAAAACAAGGTTAAAGCATTTTTATTAGACATATTAAGTGGCAAAAAATAGAGAATAGAAATTCTTGAAGCAATGAATGCGTCAAGATTTAAAGAACTGTATGCATGCATGCATATATGGAACAAATCAAAGTCTTTTTTTTAAAGGCTTAAATAACTCTGTAACTCTGAGGGAATGTGGATGTTATCCAGTATTTGCTATTGTAGGATTTCTGTTAGTTCATCTAAAGCAACTGGTGCTTACAGCTGCAGAATACAAAATTAAATGGGCTGACTAATGAGGTATGCAATTTCCATGTAAATATTAGCATCAGATAAGGCAGCATGTTTCAATTACTGGAATAAGACTGAAATAATACACCTTGGGTTATAAGACTGAAATAATACATGCTTGAGTCTGGGGATTCAGATGAGACTAATATTTTAAACGCAACAGCTTTTTACAAATTTAAAACTTATTAATATTATTGCAATGCTGTAAATGTATGCAAAACAGAATACATATGTTTTGACTTTGTGTAGTAAGTGATCTTTGAACAAGTTTGGTGTCTGTTTGGATACAAGTGTTATTTTTGTGTATTTTTTTGTCCATTGTTTTGAGATATTATTTTTTTCTCTTATTTCAGAATTCATTGTCTTTAAAAGTTTAAAACTTATTACCGCTCGTTAGCTTGATGACCTTTGAACAAGCCATTCTCATCCCAAAACCAGCTAGGGTTTTTATTAAGCTTGACTGTATTGTAAGCACAAAATAACACATTTATTAGAAGAACCCGTGTTCTGTACTTGTATGGTAGTGTACAGTGACTGCTGTTACAGTACCATTGAGCTCTGCATTATAACCAAATCACTGCAGTTAAAAGCGACCAAAGGTAGAGTGTCAGTCCCGCGAAGGACTGCGGTGTAAGAGCAGGTCCTTTCCTGGGAGCACTTCCTGTCTGCTGGGCTCATTGTGGAGAAGCCGGGCAGCGTGGCAAGGCCTGCCGTAGCCTGAGGATCCTGTCTGGGAGGGTAGATCCTATTATCTGGTTACACGGTGACTGAAGTGTATAAAGAGCACATGTAATTCAATCTAGTTCGATTGGAGAAGTCGGAGAATAGCTCTGGAAGAGAACCAAACTCGGAAGTTCAAAGTGAAATGTGGTCTCTGTAGTGGGTGATAAAGTCACATTTGACTGAATGTATTAGCTGATTTGTAACCAGCAGTGCAATACCTTGCATAAAGGCTAATAGATATGCCAGACTTTTTGCATCCTGGGTCAATTAGATTCTTGAATGGTTGTCAGCTACACAGAGGAAAAAACCACCTTATTTCCTTCGCTGGAGGTCACCTGATTTCTGATGCACTTCAAGCAAATGCTTTGGGATGAGTAGAAAAGATGACTGGGAGCTCACAGTAACTTCCTAACAAAGCAAAACAAAAAAAAGTATATTTTTGGGTGGAATAGAATCTGAACTGTCTGCTTGCACTTTTACATTTCTGTTGCATTTCATTTGCAGATTCTTCTTTGTTGAGTGAACGGAAGCGAAGGGACCGAGAAGAGAGGTTAAATATTGTCCTCTGGAGACAACCGCTTGTTACCTTGCAGTATTTTTTCCTGGAAACTCTAATAAACTTGAAGGAATGGACCATAAAGTAAAGATAATTTCTTTAACTTCTACTAAGCATTCTGGGGAAACCCATGCTCTGATTCAGTAGGTCATTCTCACATCTTGCTTTCCCTGATGATTCACCACTTTAAAATTCTTCTTTCAGAAGACATACTTACTTTTGTACCTTAAAGGTGGCTACTGGAACATACCACACTTCTAGCTGTGTACTCAGACCTTCTGCCTAAATTACATAAGTGTAAATACAGTAAAGTGTCAATGGAAGAAAATTGCAAACGTCCTTTCTGAAGAGTTGAATATTCCAATTTGAGTAGGACAGTGTTTAGGGATCTGTAAGGAAGAGGTATTGTACTTATGACTGCAGTGTTAAGTGCTGATCTATTAATGTATGCGTTAGTATCACTGAATGATCTTCAAATAGCTCAGGTAGGGCAGGGTTCAGGATTACGTGGAACTTGCAGTGATGTTTATGATGCTGTGAAGAGGACTTTGCTTGTAAGCTACATGGTCCCTTTCACAGCGGAAGCTGGTTTATTAAAGCACTTTCCCCAAGCATTATTTGCGCACTGGATAAAATGGGCTTTTATTCCAGTTAGAAAATTTGCTAGTAGCAGCCCTAACATCCCCTACTAATGCTGAAATGCATAGCTATTTTTTAACGCACTGGGCCTGAGAGGGTTTGGAGTGCCAAAAGGCAAACATGAGTAAAACTGGCAACTGAAAAAGCCAAGAATAGCAGCCATCCTACCTAGTGCTTGTGTTGGTAACTGTAATCTCTTGTGTTTGGATTGAGTTTAGAATAATTTTTCCAGTCAGAAGATATGATCTAATATCACCTTGGGTCATCCTAGCTGTTGGACTGCTCCTTTACAGAGAGAGACGAGATTAGTGATAAAGAGCTATGTTCATTGACTCTTCTGGGCTAGGTTTGAGGTGCTGACTTGCAAGATCCATTGAGAGAAACTTCTGTTTTCCATTTTGATCTTCTGAAATGATTTGTATAAAAAATACCAGGTTTTTGTAGTCTTAATCCCCTTTTAAACCAGCCCCCCAAAAAATCTAGCCCCAAAACCTGCTTATTTTACTATGTACATTCTTTCAGCTGTCACTGGGAATTGTTTCTTTGGGAACTGTTTTGTTGCGCCTTACATTAGCCATATCTGACAGCCTCCAAGCATTTATTTAGACCCAGCAGAAATAACATTTGAGATCTTATTTTAAGCTATTACCTGGCTTCTGAGACATCAGATTTGGTTACAGATAGCACTTGCATCCTCCATCCCTGTCATCTAGCACTAGCGTGACAATATCCTTACAGAAAATAACACTGACTATTACAAGCTATTAAGTTGAGACCTCAGATTGACTCTTAATGATCTCCTGTGTTCCACTTGAGTAAATTGTGATTTAAATGATGACAATCACTTGAAAATCCAATTCTCATATAAGCAGCAAAAATTATTTTAAAATTAAAGGAAATTTAGAGTGACTTTTTTCAGCTTGCTTAACTTGAAATATTTGTGACTGTTTTCCTGGATTACACGTCTCATATTTCTGTCTTTTTCTGTCTGTCTAAATAGATGAGTTATGTTCATAGCTTGCTATTTCATATCTGAAATTTTTAAGTGATGCTAGCACTTCCTTTTTTATAGCATTAGGTGACAATATAATAGTGTTTCTGAGAAAATAATAGATGTATTTGCTAATGTATCGTGCGTGGCCACATACACATCAAGCGGTATGGTTGCAACCTCGTAAAACTAAACAGGCACAAAAGTAATGTGGTATCAAGTTACATAGGGAAACACTTTTTCCCCCTTACTGTAGTAGCTTTCTAATGCTTCATAATTAGCTAAAATGTATTTATTAAGCTTTGAGCTGTTACGAGAGATACTGATTTCAACAGATCAGGGGAACCAAAATAGTGTAAAGATTTGTTCCTCTTGCTGTCACTGTGGCTCTACCCACCAGCACACAGCTTGAAATTATCACTTCTGTATTCCACCCACAGCTCATCCCTTGCCCAGAGCTAGTGCCTGCTTTGCACTTTGCTTAACCATGGATGTTGTTGATGGCCCTGTGTTTGAGACTCTCTTGGCTGCAGAAGCTGAATATTTGTTTTCAGATTGTGTTTGTTTTCAGACAGTTACTTTGTTTTTCTTTAAAAAAACAAAAAATGCCTGGCTGAACTTTGATCTCACTTGAGAGTGAAGTAGAGATTTTGCCATAAAGGATAAAGGCTGCCCAGATATTTTCTTGAGAGGTTTATGCTTTTATAATAGCAAACTTTTCAGCTGCCCGTTGTCCCTGCTGACTACATCCATGCAGACCCAGTCTACAAACTAAGTTGCTTTGAAATGCATGCTAAATTATGAAAAACCCTAATTGCTATTTATCTTTTAAGATTGTGGCATCGGCGAAGTATCTTGGTGTCTTTTTTACTGACGCTTGCAGTGCTTACAGCTACGTATTACATTGAAGGAACACATCAACAGGTATGAGGTTTTCAAGTTACTTTCCTTAGTGACTAATACTTCCTGTCCCTGTGCTGAAGTCGATGTACTGGGAATTGAATGGGGTCTTCATGAAATTGTAATGTATCTTTTGAATTCCCTACTCACTAAAGATACTTTTCTCGTGTCATGACTCCTTTCTGTTGCCTGTGGATGAGTTGCAGAACGATCAGCTGTATCGTTTGATGTATTCTGTTGCATCTGTAGGTGTTCCACGTCTCATCTGTTCCTGAATAAGCACACCTCCCATGCTGCAGCACTCCTTCACATCTGCTGTTAACAAGCTTTTAATAGTGGTGCGGGCTCTTGAGATATAAACTGAGTCATGACAGAACTTTATGGTTCCTGAGAAATGTTTCTTCTGCTATGGAACGGGTCTCCTGACCCCTATCCCATGTTAGGAGAGGCATATATCTACACATAAAATGGTTTCATGGTTCAAATCCGATTCTGCAATGCTTCTTACACCCCCATTGTTTTAAAATGGTTGTGCCTTGGAGTACATGAAGACTGATGCTTTTGCACCACTTGAAGTGTAAGCCATTCATAAGGTGACGGTGTTGTCTGCACCTTTCCCTTCCCCATTTCTCCTCGAGTTTCAAATTTTCCCTGAGGGCAGACAGCCCTTTTAAACTCTGTAGAGCATTTCCTTGTGCAAGTGAATCATCTTGCCACGCTCTGAAATCAGCAGGTTCCCGGTTTCAGAGAAGGAACTTATATCCATACTGCTGTGGTGTGTCACTGGCTGTGAGGGACATGCAGGTCTGGAACAGGAGTCCTGGCTTCCCAGGATATGCAGTGAAATGAGTTTCTTCAGCTCATGGCATTCTTGCTCACTCAATCCCATGCTTGAGACCTAAGCACTTACACGCAGAACAAGTTGGTAGATGGTAAATTGGTGGCCTGTTCCTCATGGACAAATACCTGCTTCATTAAAAACTGCCCTAGTTGATGCCTTGCCAACATGAAGGCCAGAGCTTGACGCACTCAATATTTGCCACTAGATGGCTCTTACAAGCTGGTGTCGAGGCGTGTGGCCCCTGAGCTGGCTGCTGGGCCTCCGCTGCACCAAGGCTTGGCAGAGCAGTGCTGCTCAAGAGGTTTCCTTGAGCCTGCTGGGAACAAGCCTGTGCCTCTGGGACTGGCAAGGGCCGTGTGGCCTGCAGGGTCCAGCCAGTGCTTGGAGCTCCTGCTTCAGGGGGGCCTCAGTTATATGTGCAGCGGGTATCTGTGCAGCCCCCTTCCTGCAGAGCTCCTTCCCTAAAGTCCGGGTCCTGCGAGTGCCTCTGCCTGTCTCTGTGTACCATCAATGTATACTTGACTATGAGCCACTTTCTTCTGAAAGCATACTCAGAATAGGGAATTATATTTGTGGTTTTCACTCGCTTTTTTCAGGACTTTTTTACACCCTGGCAGGCAGAAGCCTGGTTGAGACTGGTAAACTTCATCTTTGTGCTGTTGGCCCACGGATGGTATAAAATGGCACCTCTTCTTGGGGCAGTGGTACAGGCAAGTTGATGGCCTGGCTCACCCTCTTAGTATTGCTCTCACGGCACTGAGAGGGAGATACTGCTTCCCATTTCTCCAGCGTACTCAACGGGACTTCTTATGTCCAGAATTTGCTGTGACTTCCCATATCCCCTCATTTATGTGTGCAACACACAGCCAACATTTTATCTTTTCTTAAAAGTAACAAACCTGGTTACTCACTGGTCCAAGATAAAGCATTCAACAGAGTAACTGAGAGTGTGGCTAATTCTATTCCTGTATTTAATCTGTTCAGGCAATTCCCCGAGTTGTCTGCTTGCTGCTTGGGCTCCAGTAGACACTCTGTAGGGCTTGCTGCTCACTGCACACACATAGTATGCCTATTCTGGACGTCAAACCCCTACTATTTTTCATCTGTCTCCTTGGAAACTTGCTGATTCTAAGGCATGTGGGCTTTTCTTTTGAAAGTGTGCTGTTTTCTATACATGTCAGTGCTGTAATTGTAATAAATTGCAAGTAGAAGTATCTAGGATTCTGTTTCAGCTGTTGCAATCCAGATAACTGTCTGGGTTAGTTTGTAGCTTTAAATTTCTCCCCTAAGAGACATCACCTTTTTTTTTTTTTCTCTTTTGTGACTTTTCTTTTTCAGTATGTGCGGTATATGGAAAAAAAGTTCTTCTGGTGTGCCTACTGGGTAGGATTAGGCATTCTGTCCTCTGTTGGACTTGGAACAGGTCTTCACACCTTTCTGCTCTATTTGGTAAGCATATTTCCATACTGTGTTCTTTCTGAACTGAGTATATTAATTGCTGTGTATTTTTAAATCTGTGAAAAAAGAGTATTCCATAAGTCCTAAAAGTTAAGTACTTCTGAAGGAAAGTAAATATTTAATGTAATGCTTCTGTGCTCTAGTGAATGCGATTCATATTCCATACTGTGTAACCTTGTTTTGTGGTCCATATGCTATATGTTTGTTGAACTGTAGATACTAGGCTGCTGTTAATCCTCCCTTTGAAACAATGAGTCAAAATCTGCAAACTCTATCCTCTAATTTCCTAATTTAAATTAAACATTTTTGTGTGTGTGCAGCTCAAGTGTTTCCACTGAAAATTTTTCAGCATACTCTTTCTTTTAGTAGCTTAAAATGATCGTTTTTCTATCTGAAACCGCTGAAATTTTAAAGTTCAGTCTGTATTAATTTTGCTTTGAAAATAATAGCAAGAAAAATGTTTGTCTACAAAGATAAAATAATATCTGTTCTGAAAAAACATATGATGTTTTTGATCTCAACTTAGCTAGGAAAGTTAGGGAAATGTTTGGGTGTGTTTTGCTTTTGGCCATTGGATTAGTTCCTTGTTTATGAAACCACTGTCCTGGATTTAAGAAAAGGATTCATGGCCACAGAATAATGAAAACCAGTTTATGCAACAAATGTCATCTTGTATTTGGAACAATTACAGATGTTTACTTTCAGAACTGCTTTAATCATTAACAATAACACAGAAAACACTACAAGAATCAAGAAACTCGTGCTTTTCCACAAAGCGGGGCAATGCCTGTTGGATCAAATGGCATCTGTATGGGCTACATTTGCAGTAATCTTAGACTTACTCTTAGTGTAGCTTCTTTCCTAAAGACTGTGGAGGCACAAAGTACAGGAGAAGGGAAATGACGGCTAAACAGAAACAAGTTTATGGATGCGTAGCTTTCTAGACAAAAATACTGCTACCAGTATAAATGACTGGAAATGGAAATTCAGTAAAGCTGATGAACAGTGTCTAAACCTTTTTATGTAACATGGACAGTGCTTAGGCAGCAGTGAATTGACAATGTATAGATCCTTCTCACTTGCAGAGATGATGCTGTTAATAGCTTAGGGACAGTAAGACACAGGGGCTGGACAGAGGGAGAATCAATCAAAATCATCAGTCCCAAACTGAGGTGCTCTGCCCCGCTGGAGAAGCAAACTAGCATTGAGTGATGTGTGAGGTGGAGTCAAGCTCAAAAACTCAGCTCACTTTGGGTTCTCTGCCAGCCCGTGGTGGGAGTGAAAATGCAGAAGGATGGGATCACCGGCTATTCGTCAGGACAGAGAGAGGAAGGGAAAGCAGAGCAATTCCAGGTTTGCTGCAGAAACCATTTGATCACTATTTAAATTAAAAATTTAAATATTTCCTACTTGTAGGAAACAATTTAAAGGATAGCTTTTATCTTGTTCTGCATTTTTTTTATATTAGGCTATCAACCGGTGAGAGTCAACTTAAGATTTCCTCTAACCAAAGATTTAATGTATATTGACGCCCTCTTTGAAGCAGTTTGGAGAGCTTATCATACAGCTCCTATTCCGAATTTTTGCACATGTTGTGTCAGAAATCTAGTAGCAAGAAGTGTTATCCACCGTTTCTAAACTGTATTTGAAAGTGGGGAATGTTTCTTTGCTGTACATTGATCTGACACAGAGTGGCACGAGTGCTGTCATTTTATACCCTAGGCCACTCTGACATGTTTCTGTCACAGAAAGAAGTCTTCATAAGGCAGCACCACTTCTTTTTTCCTTAAAGAAGGTGGAATTAATTGACCTTTCTTTTACTCTGTATGTAAAATTCCAGTTGTTTAAATAGTTCTAAATTACTTTAATAGAAAACAAATAAAATTTCATAACATATCACTTCAGTTTTCCTGTGGGGTATGCGAACCTAGTGGATATATTTAGGTCATGACCTGAGCTGACATTAAAGTACCATATATGCGGAATAAAACTTCTCTCGTGGCTTAATTTATGGTGGGTATATAGGAGGTGAACAGCCTTCCAAAGATTACAGGAAAGCGCATCACCTAGGAAAAGAAATTTAGTTTAGTATTGTTAGTGAAGGTATTTATTGCAGACGTAGCGAGGATATTTATTGGGAACGGAAGAAGCAAGATCTCACCTAACTTTGTTAGGAGGGGGGAAAACAGACAAAATACATTGCACTGAATAATTAGAAGCTGGTTGTAGAATAAGATGTAATGAAACCATACCATCAACATCTAATATGTAACAATACAGGAGAAACACGTGTGCGCGTAAGGCAGATAAGCGTGTTTCTGTTACGCTCAGGGAATTCCGTAAAGGCAGTGAGTGTAGGAAGAAAGAGAAGCGAAGATTCGTTTTCCTCGGCGCAAGGTCTAGTGATTCGCATGGCTGTAAGGTTGGGACAGCGGCCGGTCGCGGGCGCCGCGGGCGCGCCGGAGCAGCGAGCGGTTCCCGGGTTGGCGGCGTGTCGCTGGCGTTGCAGCCACCAGAGGGCAGTGGCAGTGCAGACACCGCCTGGTGCCTGGCAGCGCCTTGCCATTTTCATACCCGAACTGGCCATCTTGTCGATACAGCTACGCCAGTGTCTATACGCAGTGTGCTATCAATGCAGTAACAGACTTCTTAATATCGGCTCGGGTTGAGCCTACACCTTGTCTGAAGGGGAACACGGAGTACTAACTTAGGACTGGTGGTACAACTTCTAAGGGCGGGTTATTTCGGCATAGTGTTCTAGGTTTAACCCATCTGGAAACAATGCAATTAGGAGCTCCGGCTTTCAAAAGGAGGAGTTTTAAATTAATTTGCTCCGTTAGTTGTGCAGCAGTTGCCTCTAAAAGTAGAAATACAATAGGTTAAGTGGTGAACTCGCTGTATTAACTTATGCTGTCTATCTACTTTTCATGTTCTATATACTTTAATTACATTTCTTCATTACGGTAAAACTTATTCTCCTATTGATTCAAAGAAACGAGAAGTTACAAAGCAGCAAATCCTCTTCTGCCTTAGTGCCTGGATTTGCTGGCAACAGAGAATAGGCTCAGTAAGTGTTTTAAAATTGCTTATAATTAATTGCTCATTTTAAATCTGTATGTAGAGTGAGATTGTTGGGAATGCAATTACATGCTTAGAGAACAATGCTCGTGGGCCCACCCAGGCGCTGCTGAGCTGCTGCTGCTGCCTGCAGTGTTGTCTCTGCTGTTAAGGGCCAGCGGTTGGAGCTGCTGGCATGTAGGCACCTGCTCAGACAGCGCGCCTGAGCTTCCTCAGCTGTGACACAGGTGCATCTTTTTTAAATAGAGCCCTCCACTTACTGCGTGCAACGATTTTCACATCAAACTCTTCATGAGCACAGCCCGTGAGCTGGGTAAATCGTAGCAGCAGTCGGGCAGTAGAAGCGGTATATGAATGACTCGGGCTGTTCGCTTTCCCTGGCCTGGTTCGCTGTTGTTCCAGTGTTGAAAACTGTCATTTGTCTGGATTCTTCAGAGCATCTCTCGCCAGCTGCTTTTTGAGGCGGCATGAATTCAAGTGCCAGGAGAGATCCTGGGGTTGGCTGCGAAGAGATTACTCGGAAACAGTTTGCGTAAAGTGGCTTTTGCAGTCTAAAGCGGTCTCAGTGTGGGGGGATGTTACTGCCCCTGGTTAATATCCGTTCACATTTGATTCGGATTTTGTTGGTCGACAGAACATTCTTGCTGCATACATCTCGGTGTAGGAGGGAGAGGTCAATTTTCTTAGTTTGCTAATAGGCTTTTTATTGCTATTTCTGTGATTCAAGAACTTTCTGTCTGTTATAAAGGGTCTGAACATTGTCTGCTGTATTGCTTCCTAGTTTAATGCTGCTTTCTTAGTTGTAGCCAGCACTAAATGTAAAATTTGACATGGTTTTTTGGAAAACAATTCTCATGCTGCAAATTGGCACCAAGCTAAGGGCTGGCGCAGAGCAGATCTTCAACGCAGAAATAGGGAAGCAGGCAGCTCTTCCAAGAATCATTTTTATTCTGACACTTTCAAAACAAGTCTGCTGGCTTATTTTCCCAAAGTCCATTAAAGGTTTTTCACAATTCTTTAAAAACAACACTTTAAAAATAGTAATCGTGATGTGGTTCTGTAGGAAATAAAACTATTATGATTAACGATTCATAAATACTGTTTTAGCAGCACACAGCTTTTTTTTTGTAATCCTGAGATGTTTTCTCTTCTGTTGGTGGTATATTAAAATATAAATGGCATGAATCACCTAATTACCAAAGCTGATGACTGAGGGTAACTCGTCAGGAATTTCTTGCGTTTGTACGTCTCGGAGAGGTCTGTTTTCTGCCGCAAAATGAAATGAATGAGCTGCCGGAGGGCCGGTGGGCAGCGGGCTCCGGCGGAGCGCTGGGTTGGGACCCCGCTGCCGTGCCATCTTCGCGCAACGCTCTGCCTCGTGATTTGGTTTCAGTTCAGCTCTGGCAAATGGATTGCAAAAGATACGGCTGAGGCAAACAAAATCAGCTTAGAATTAATGCCTATCAAAAAATCTTGTGCGAGGAGCGGATGATAAATGTCCCTTCTGTGTATGGTCCATTATAGTCTGTAACGGTGGGGGGTGAATGGAAGCGAATTCCTTACAGGTCAAAAGTGCAGAGTGAGCTTTGGCTGTTTGCATTTGTTTGTGTTTTTGTTTCTTAAATATGGATCTCTGCTTGCTTGCTGATAGAGCCAAGTGGAGCAACTGCTGAAAAGTTTTTCGGTGGCGGCCGGGTTGTGGACTGGCGCAAACAGGAAACGTGAGGTACAATAGGAATGTTTTGTGTGCGGAGGTTGCACAAGAGCGCGGATTTTTTTCAGAACTATAATATGTGGGTTTGTCACTTAATTCTTACTGGGGTGTTCTGTAGCAGAGTGGAAGAGAGCATGGCAATAATTTCAGGCCATGAAAAAGAACCGCCTTTAAAGAGAAGCGAGTTGAAAAAGACAGT